GTTGGCTGCTGACACCAATACATCGTCAAAATAGGGAACCACCCCCTTGATTCCTCGCAGCAGTCTCTCCATGAGGCTCTGGAAAATTCCTGGGGCTACGCTGACTCCAAACTGGAGTCGGTTACAACGAAACGCTCCCCGGTGGGTGACTATTGTTTGCGCCTCGGCGGTTTCTTCATCGACCGGCAGTTGCTGATAGGCTTGCGCCAGGTCGAGCTTCGCAAAGACCTTGCCCCCCCCCAGCGAGTGTAATAGGTGTTGCACTACTGGGACGGGGTAGGCGCTTTGTTGCAGGGCGCAATTGAGGGTGGCCTTATAGTCCCCGCAGATCCTTACTGACCCATCTGGTTTGACTGGGGTGACTATAGGGGTCTCCCACCGGGCGTGGTCGATTGGCTGCAAAACCCCCTGTTTGACGAGTTTGTCAATCTGCTCGTCTATTTTCGTCCGGAGTGCAAAAGGCACCCGTCGGGGTTTTAGGCGTATGGGGGCGACATTTGGGTCTAGGCTAAAGGAGATAGGGGGCCCCTTGTACTTGCCTAGGGTGCCGTCGAATACTTCTTGGAAGTCCCTCGCCAGCTGCTGCTCCCAGTCGGCCTCTGTGGTGTGGTTTACTCCCGTGACCTCGATCCCGAGTGGCGCGAACCATTGGAGTCCTAAAAGGCTGGGTCGGTTCCGGTCCACGATAGTCAGGGGAAGTTTCGCGGTGCGGTTTTTGAAAGTCACCACGAACTGTCCGGTCCCAATGACGGGGATGCGGTTCCCCTGATAGTCCTTGATGATCAGTTTCTGGTTCTCCAGTCCTTTTTTCTGGATGTTTGGCACCAGGCGCTTGAGTTCTTTCCAGGCGACCATGGAGAGGTAGGATCCGGAGTCTACCTCCATCCGGCATGGTTCGCCCTCGATGCTCACCTCCACGTAGACCTTCCGGGCATCCGTGGTTTCGGCATGGCCGATGGTGACCGTCTGGTGGGTTTCTTCTCTCTGTCGGCCTTCCCCGCTCCGTCGTCCTCGGTTGTCTCGGTTCCAGCGATAGTCGGCTTGGCGATCTCTGGTTCTCGGGGGGGTGTCGTCTCGTCCCCGGTTGCTTGGTTCTCGCCGGCGGGGGCTGTGTGTCTTTTTGAGTCGGCAGACTCGGGCGATGTGGCCCTTCTTGTTGCAATGCCGGCAGATCGCGTCGATAAAACGGCACTCGGATCGAAAGTGGTTTCCCCCGCACCCGGCGCACTGGTTCCCCGACTTACGACCCCGTTGATCTCGCCGGTCCCGTCCTGTTTGTAGTCGGTGGACGTCTTCCTCCTCGTCCGTGGTATCGGAGGCGGAGTCCAGGTCCCCGTGGTGTGTGGTGGTTTCTCGTCGGCTTGTCTCGGGGGTTTCAGTGTGGTCCCCGTTGTCTGCTCTCCGAAGTCTGGCTGCTGACTTCCGGGTGGCTTCGGCTGCGGAAGCTTCGGCCAGGGCGTCCCCGAGGTCGATGTTGCCTTTCGCCATCAGTCGACTTTTTAGTGCCTGATCCCTGAGGCCTAGGACCACGCGGTCTCGGAGGACATCGTCCAGGTCCCTGAACTCGCACATCCCCCCTAGGTCTCGCAAGGCGGCTATAAAGTCGCTAATGCTCTCGTCCTGCCGCTGGTTTCGCCGATAGAACTCATCCCGCCGGATGAGGATGGGCACAGCGGGGGCGTAGTGGTTCCGAAGGAGTGGCTCGAGATCGGCCCAGTCCATCGCCTTCACGTCCTCTGGCTTCGCGAGGGCTTTGGCCATCTTAAACACTGCGGGCCCGCAGTGTGTGAGGAAGACGGCCCTTTTCTTCTGCCCGTTCGCATCCTTCAAATTGCTACTTTCGAGGAACATCAGGAATCTATCCGTGTACGATTCCCAGTCCTCGGTAGCGGGGTTGAAGGGTGCTGGTGGGGTCATGCTGGCCATCTCGTCGGTCCTTTGTCTTCCTCTGGACACGTGCTCGGTGGTTATTCTCTGGATCCCACCCTCGTCGCCAGTGTCGTGTCCGTCGAGAAAAGGAAGCTCGGAGTCGGTGACTTGGTTTCAGCTCTTTATTGGCTCCTGATACAGCTTAAGCTTGAAGGGAAAAACTGCGGCTTTTTATTCCCGAGCCGCGGCGGCCGCGGCCAATGACACCGCTTCGAATCTCCCGCGATTAGTTTCCACCAATCGCGGGGGATTCGCAACGGACCAATCAGTGCGGCTCGCTCGACCAATCCGATCGCCGCGCGCCTTAACCAATCGCGACGCGGGGCTACGAGTATGTAAATTGACTTGTACAGAACAGATACTATGGGGAAATACTAATGTACAGAGTTGAAATTACCATTCAAATAAATTCAGGAATATCCAGTTAAATAATATCCACAGTATATTGAAGATATTTGACAAATAACTACTAATTTTGTCTAAATTCTCTTAGCCAAATCATTCATTGTTATGAGCCCAGTAATGACTGCTAGAGTAGTCTGTAATCAAAATACTCTCTGAGCTTCTAGGAGGTGACTGTGCTTCTTGTAGAATCAAGAGATGGATGATTTCTCAAGGAACACTAAATAAAAATAAAAATCTTTCTAATATATTTAGCTCCAATATTTCCATGCCGCAAGCTTAAGCTCCTGTGTATAAATAGGGTAGAAATGAAACTGGAAGAAATCCCTTTCTGTACTTCAATTTTCTTCTCTGCTTTGGCCATGGAAGTGGCCTGAGTTTCTGATTAGGTTTTGCTTACCACAGCTCCTGCTTGGTGGAAACCCCCCCTCCCCCCAAGTCTTCTTTTTCATACTGGGAAAGCAAGTACCAACATCCTTCTCTTCAGTGGATATGTCTTTGAGAACAATGGTTTCCTTTGTTAGAATGTTTGTACAAAGTCCTCTCTGTTGACTCTCTTCAACTTGATACTTTTCTGATTGTTATATCCACCAGTGGAGAAAGAAGGAAGGAAGGAAGGAAGGAAGGAAGGAAGGAAGGAAGGAAGGAA